CCACCCCAGTCATCCAGTAATTCTTACTCATTAAAGCTAAATACATTTATCCTTTGCATGTATCCATCAAATGAAGCCTCCTTTCTCCTGTACAAGGGTCTATAGTAGAGTCATTATGACATTTATTATCAGTCTACACACGGTGACAGAAATCCTTACAGACATTTAGTCTCTGCTAAAACACTGATTTTGTAGCAGGAACCAGAATGATGTTCTTAGGGATGACGGCTGTAGCCAGGTGGCACTGAGAGAACGCTATAGAGATAATGTGTCTGGGGTACGTGTTAGCTGCAAGGCATTGTGCTTGGTTGGGGCTTTACCCACTGCTTTTACCTTGAATCTTTACCACCAAAGCTAGGAGGTTGGGAGCAAGTTTACGCCATTGACAGAGGTCAGAGGAGGCACAGAGATAAAGGAAGCGTCCCCACAGCCTTCACCACTGCTTTGCACAAGCAGCCTGTCTGGGGTTCTGAATGAGCCTGGATCAGTTTGAACAGCATGGTTAGTCTTTCCACATCGTGGCACAGAATGGTTTAGTTATCCTGCTTTACTGCCTCCTTCCCTGGAGTGCTGACCCCAACTCCTCAAATCTCTTGCATCCCCAGTCCAAGACCTGCTTTGGGTCTATTTATGAACAACCAGGCTTCCTCCCGCTGCAAGGCCTGTGTGTTCGGACACCGCATCCACCTTCACGCTGGGCCAAAGCCAAGCTCTTCCTATGCTTTGAAACCCGCAGAGTGCTGTTGTCGAGCTGGCCTGTGTCACGAGGAGCTGTCATCTTGTTCAGTATCTATCACCGCTGCTGTTATCCTGAGCCCCTCCTAGATGTCAGGCCCTGGAAAAAGGCATGTGTTGTTCAGGCAACTGAGCGGAGTGCTTTACAAGAGGCATCTCATCTGCTTCTCATTATAATCCTGAAGATATACTATTGATACCTCCATTTTAAAAAAGAGGAAGTTGAGGCCCAGGGAGGCTAAGGACCCTTCTTTAAGTCTCAGAGATCAAAACAAAAAATCCACTGCCATTGAGTCAACTTCTGCTCATGTTGCTGTCGCCAGGTGCTAGCCAGTGGGCTGTGACTCTCACCGAGCCCACGGACAACAGAACTAAACACCGCTGGGTCCTCACAGTTACTCTTATGTTTGAAACCCCTATTGTAGCCACAGGGCTCCCCATCTCACGGAGGGTCTCACTCCTTGTTGCTGTCCCTCCACTTCACTGAGCATGATGTTCTCCTCCAGTCTCTTCTGCTAACATACTCAAGGTACAGGGGACAAAGGTCCCCATCCTTGCCTTTAAGGAGCATTCTGGCCGGACGTCTTCCAAGATGGATCTCTTTGTTCTTTTGTCAGTCCCTTCAATATTCTTCGCCAACTCCATACATCCATGCTTCTTCAGTCTCCCTAGATCAAACCTTTACATGCATAGAAAGTGAGATAGTTTATTGTGCCAGCCTGGCCAATAAACACAAGTGGGATTAATTGAAGAGAGATAAATGGCTTGGTGAGCCTCACCTTTCTTGTCTCTTGCTCTTTGATCATTGGACCAGTGTGTGGCTGGCTTGCTTGTTCTGTGACTCAATTTACAGGCTACACTACCTGTGGGACGCCTAGTCTGTGGACTGTGTCGCTGTAAGTTGAGGTCCCTTTAAGACCACACGATTGAAATTTACATCTCTGGAGCTGAGGGCTGACAGTTGGTGACCTGGCTGACAGTTGGTGACCTGCCTGGCTGTTTTGCTGCCTGTGCTGGGATAACCTAGCTCTCTCTCTACAGAGGACTACCAGACAGCCCTCAAGACTTGAAGGACTGCTAGTGTCTCACAACTCTCTCACGGGGGTCAGTTGCACTGAGCCATTTGTACTGCTTTATAATTATCTGTTCATTTCTTGTAATATATATCTATCTGTTTATAATTTAACAGTTCATCACTTGTGTTATATATATATCTATCTGTTTATAATTTAACAGTTCATTTCTTGTGTTATATATCTATTTTTATAAATATATATATAAAATTATCAGCAATCTGGTTTTCTCTCTAGAGAACCCTGTCTAACACAGAAGGTAAGTGAAAGTATCATGGCTTGGGTCAGGTGCACTTTAGTCCTCAAAGTAACCTTCATGCTTTTCAAATTTTGAAGAGATCTTGTGCAGCAGATTTACCTAATACAGTGGTTCTCAACCTTCCTAATGCTGTGACCCTTTAATACAGTTCCTCATGTTGTGGTGATCCCCAACTATAAAATTATTTTCATTGCTACTTCATAACATTCATTTTGCTACTGTTATGAATCGGGCAACCCCTGTGAAATGGTCATTCGACCCCCAAAGGGGTCGTAACCCACAGGTTGAGAATCGCTGACCTAATACAAGGCATCATTTGATTTCTTGATTGCTGCTTCCATGAGAATTGATTGTGGATCAATTATGGACCTATAGGATCAAACCAGCCTAGATAAGATTTCTGAGGCTGTAAATCTTTATAGGATCAGATAGCCTCATCTTTCTCCTGAAGTCACACAGATAGTAAAAGGAAAGCTGGGCCTAGACTGTCACACCTCCGCTCATACACACTACACCATATTGTTTTACCACCCGAATGTCAGTTCTGCACTCCTCCCTCCTTTTCTGACCCGTGTACTGCATGGCAGCAGATGCTGTCCTTTGTAAAAGCACTTCTTACAGTGTAAGGAGCCCTAGCGGTGTAGTGGGCTACTCGTAGGGTTGGTAACCAAAAGTTGGAAGATCAAACTTAGCAGCTGCTCCACTGGAGAAAGATGAGGCTTTCTGCACCCATAAAGATTTACAGCCTCAGAAACCTAACCATGACAGTTCTACTCTGACGTAAGGGTCACTATGAGTCCGAATAGATTCAGAGGCAGTGAGCCCGCTTCTGTTTGGTTTCTTACAATGAACTGTGAGAGATTCGTGATCTTCATTCCCATTAGCCTGTGAGCTCCCTGAAGACTGGAGCTCTGTTTCATATATCCCTGTATTCCTGGTGACAACTGCTAACTGTGGGATCAGCAGTTCACACCCACCAGCTGCTCCTCAAGAGACTGACGAGGCTATTGGTTCTCCTAAATATTTAGTTTCAGAAACCTAATCTAGGATCACTATGAGTCAGAATTGACTTGATAGCAGAGGTTTTTGCCTTTTTGTTTTTTAGTACAGCCCAGCACTTAATATCATGCCTAGCACAGAATTAAGAACATTAAAACATGTCTGTTGACTGAATTTTATTAGTTTTTCTCTTCTTGACTTGCTGATGTATGTTGCCAAGGTTCCCAGAATGTTTGTACCCAAACTTGTTTGAATATTGACTGCTCTAGAAATGAATTTAGCATTTACTCTTGGGTATGTAATTGTGTGGTGTGTGTGTGTGGTATCAATTAGAGCAATAAGTTTTTCAAGTACTTGTCTGCACCAGAAGTGTTTAGCTATTAATGAAAAAGGTTCTTAGTTGCCGTATTAATTTTATTTTCTTTAATCTGGAAATCCTCCACTATCTTTCTTGTCTGTATAATACAGACGTTTTTGAAGAAACAAGAGAATGCTCCCTGTCTTGGGCTAGCCTGAGATTCTCTTGCCATTGGATGCTGGCTATCCATCCCAGCCAGATTCCTGCTGCCTCTTCTTGGGCTGTCACATTTAGAGGACCTGATATCCATCGTTCCATCTGAGGGTCATTATGATCCCTTAACGGAGACAAAGGTCCACTTCTTCCCTGCATAGGTAACCTCTTCCCTCTTGTACCTAATACACCATTTGCTGTGGGGGTGGGGGTGGGGACCTTCAGGCAATGCTTTTATCCTGTTCCTCATCAGCATCCCTGGGGGTCCCATGGATGATTCTGCCTGTGTCTCTGTTTAATAATTGTCAGCAAGATGATGATTCTACAACCCAGTGTAACATATGACTCTAGATGGGATCCTGTACTGTAGGGAAAAGTAAAAATGCGATAAAGAATTGAGTTAATTGAAAATATTGGAATATGGATGGTAGCTACATAAAAGTATCAAAAAAGGTGAAATATAACAAAGAAAGTTGAAATCTACTGCAACTTAAATGACTCAAAAAAAATTATGTGTGTAAAGAGAAAAAGATATGTTTAAGCAAGTGGACTAAAATGTTAAAAGTAGCACATGAATGTCCTTTATGCTATTTCTATTCTTGGAACTTCTTTGTTGAAATTGTTCTCAAATGAAATGCTAATACTAAGCATTTAGGCATCCATGGAATAAATACAAAGATGTGTTGCATTAGGTAAATCTGTTGCACAAGACTTCTTTAGAGCATTGAAAACCAAGGCTGCTACTTGAGCACCAAGGTGCACCTGACCCAACCATGCTATTTTCAATCATGTGCGTGATTGATATGTATGTGAAAGTTGGACATTGCATAAGGAAGACCAAATTAATTTTGGTGCTGGTGAAGAATATTGAAAGTACCATGACTGCAAAAAGGACACACAAATCTGTCTTGGAAGAAGTACGTTAGAGTGCTCCTTAGAGGCAAGGATGGCGAGACTTCCACTTACAGTCTTTGGACATGTTGTCAGGAGAGATCAATCCCTGGAGCAGGACATCATTTTTCGTAAAGTAGAGGGGCAGTAAAAAAGAGGGAGGTCCTTGATGAGATGGATTAACACAGTGGCTGCGACAATGGGCCCAAGCATAGGAATAATTAGGATGGTGCAGGACTGGGCAGTGTTTTTGTCTAGTGTGCACAGTGTCTCTAACAGTTAGAACTGATTGGATGGCACACAACAACAACAACAACAACAACAACAGAGTTTGATGTCCTACCTAAAGCAATATCAGTTTGTCACTTCATGGCTAATTTTGGATGAATTTAACAAGCTCCCCCCCTCCCCCGCCTTAGATGATCCCCAAGGTCTAGTCCTAAATGAAGTCCTGCGACCCTCCTGCAAAACTTCCAGCACCATGATGGTGCCTGCGTGGAAAGTGTCAACTAGTTGAAATGGCAGAATCTAGTTCTGGTTGGACATGTCTCCATTTCTTTATTGAAAGACAATACAGAAGTGATGAAATAGTACCACCGAGCTTTGAACAGAGAGGGAATGGACACAGGTCCCTAATGCGACGACACAGAACCAACCGCCTGGCATCAGCACCAGCAGGCCCCGTTTAGTTCCCCTGCATGATCGCTGCATATGCCTTCTGGTGCTCAACCAACTTCAGGAACACTTGATACTTCTTGTCATAATATCTGTGGGAGAAAAAAATTACATGCTGAGTGAACTCAAGACAAAACTCTGACATGGCTTCCCCTTACATTAGAAAGCTAGGAGTATATAGTATGACTTTGTTAATATCTCCATTGCTTAGAGCAGTGGTTCTCAACCTTCCTAAGGCCACAGCCCTTTAATACAGTTCCTCATGTTGTGGTGACCCCCCCAACCATAAAATTATTTTCATTGTTACTTCAGAACTGTAATTTTGCTACTGTTATGCATTGGGCGACCCCTGTGAAAGGGTTGTTCAACCCCCAAAGGGGTTGTGACCCACAGGTTGAGAACCTCTGGCTTAGTCATTCTAAATAATGACTCAACATGCATTGCTCTCATTGTCACTAACTTACATGAGATGCTATGAATTCCACTTGAGATATATGGTCATTTGTTCAGAGAGACATATTAAATGTAAAATCCAAACACACTATCATCAAATTGGTTTCTACATATAGCAATTCTATATAGGGTTTCTGATACAATTTTGATATAAAGATTCTGTAAATCTTTACAGAGCAGACAGCCTCATATTTCTCCAAGAGAGCAGCTGGTGGGATAGAACCACTGACCTGACAGCAACTGAATACATAACCAATAGCACCACCTGGGCTCCTTAGACCTAATATAAATTCAAAACTCAAACTCACTGCCACCAATTCAATTCTGACTCACAGCAACACTACAGAACAGGGCAGACCATCCCCTGTGGGGTTCTGAGACTGTAGCTCTTTGTGGTAAAAGAAAGCCCAGCCTTTCTCTTGAGGCATAGGTGGTGGTTTTCAACTGCTGACCTTGTGCTAGCAACCCAACACCTAACCACCGGGGCTTCTATTGCGTCAAATAGCTAAAAATGGATGGGACCAGAATTCAAACTCAGTTCTCGCTGGCTTTGATGACTCCACCGTACTCACGATGCCCTGAAAAAGCCTTATTTCACCATAGGGTTTTCCTTCTGGCAAAGTGGTTATGCACTGGGCTGCTAACTACAAGGTCAGCAGTTTGAAACCACTAGCCTGTCTGGGGTAAGAAAGATGAGGCTTTCTATTCCTATAAAGAGTAGCAGTCTTGGAATCCGCCAGGGCCCAGTCATACCTCATGCTATCAGTCAGAACCGACTCAATGGTAGTGAGTTTGTTTTTAAGTTGTCTTCATTTCAGCGTCAGGTATATTTCAGACATGGCTAACCCCAGGTGTGATGACTGTAGGAGAACCACAGCCTGACCAGAGATGAGACTAGACATTTTAATCTCAGCTGTGCAGCTTCCACACCTAGATTTCCTTTGTAGACTTCTTTACCCAGGGTGCAAGCCCACAGAAATGCAACTACTGCTGCGCTCTGCATTTCGGACATCTCAAAAAGAACTTTGCTTTTCTTAAGTCCCAGCTGACTTTTCAGATGAGATGTGACATTGAAGTTGAGATAGTTTAATGCAGCACAATTCTGGAAAGGATGACAGCAGGCAAGACAATGCAGGCTTGAGGACTTGCAACGTTGTCTTTATACTTTTTCCATGGGGGTAGCTAGCCTGGGGTGAGAAACTGATAGAGATGGTTTAGCATTTCTTGGTAGATTTCACTTCCATGGCGCAGTCTAAGCAAAGTGGCTCAGTCTAAGCAAAGAGGAGTTGTATGTACATCAGTTCCCGAATCAGTTCCACAGTCAGTTCCCAAACATCCTCCTGCAACGAAGTTTTTCTCTTTAGGAACATAATGGCCTTGCACCGCCATCCTTTTGATGAGAAACTCTAAGGAAGCATGGCAATTCGAAGATGCAAGAGCAGCTCAGGTGACTGGCTCTCGCTCTACTTGCAAATCTTGGAGGCAGCCTGCAGATGGTGCTATAGCACCGCGTGTGCTTGGTCTCTAGGCCTGCTTCCATCCTGTACCAAGAAGCTGAGGGTTGTTTTCGAAAGGAACACTTGGTGTTTATTGCTAGAACTTAAAATCAGACTTCCCTCAAGAGTTTTGGGGGGCCTGGGGGAAGCATAATCTGTTTCTAATTTCAAGAAAAGAGTGAAGCTTCAGCTGGCTCCGAGAGTCAAATGGCCAGTAGCCTACAGCCAGGAAAAAACTCAAATTCACTGAAATTGAGTCAAGTGATCCTATAGGGCAAAGTAGAACTTCCTTGGTGGGGTTCCCAGGCTATCTATCTTTACAAGAGCAGAAAACCTCAACTTTCTCCCCCAAAGTGGATGGTGGGTTTTGAACCACCGGCCTTGTGGTTAACAGCTTCACACATTACATAGGGCACCACCCAAGCTCCCTTCTGTTGGAAACATTCAAATGGGCCACACAAGAGCCCGTTCTTCAGACTTCTGCAATTAGACGCAGGCTCATATTCAGCAGGTGAAAGGCCTAAGCCCATCTGGAGATCAAGAAGGAAAGGAAAAGAAATCGGTTGTTTTCCTCCGTGGGAGTTTCCACATTTGTCAACTGCCCATTAGAAGCAGGACTGATTGTGCTTTGGGAGAGATCTGTGTAGTTGAAACCTTCCACTCACAGGAGCCAGTTTCCACACACCTTTGCCCAGGCCATTACACGAGGTGTGTGTTCTCCCTCTGTGGACATGTGAAGAACTTTAGATGTGGCACTTGCTTTGGGTTGGAAGCTCTTACTGGAAACTTCATAAAGGTGTGGATGGAGCAGCATTCATCTTCCTAACCCAGTGCTTGACACGGTGTCCAGTGACCCACTGACCTTGGGATCAGCTGCTCACCAATCCCTCCTTGGGAGAAAGAGAAGGCTGCCTGGTCCCCACAAGATTAAAATCTCAGAAATCCTATCTCAGGCTGCCATGAGTTAGAATTGACTTGATGGTAGTAGCTTTCATTTTTGGGACTTGTAAAATGTATTCCTTTGTTCTCAAATGATCTATAGACAGGAATAAGATGGTATCTTATTACCCTTTAACTTCTGCCTAGAGCAAGCATAATGACTCATGTGTAGCAAGAGCTCAATAATTTAATGTCCTGTTGAATTGGAGTTTAAATACTGATCAAGGTCCAGTCGCCAACACCAACTGATACAAAGGGCAGATGAAAGGAGAATGCTACTGTGCCCTCTGATGCAAGATAGGAGAAGGCTTCAAAACATTTGCAAGAAAACAGAATGAAATCATGGTGACGCTGTCCCATGGACTTTTTGAAATCCTCATTTTAGAACAGAGAAGACCAGAAAAACAGAGAAGACCCAATTTCCTGCCAATGACCTGAGAGTTTAGAAATTTGAGTTTGTCTGTACTCACCCACCCCTCACTCTGAGCCCACCTACATCTGTGGTCTTGGATGAGTGACTTTAACTCCCTGGGGTTTAAGTTTTCTTAATTATAAAATGAAAGAATTGGATTAGATGACCGCTAACGATTATTCCCACTTTGAAAGCGCATGTGTTTGTACATTCTTATTCCTTAGAACAGGTCATTTGTGGAAGGGTGGGGGGAAGGGAGGTAAACGTACCTTTTATCCTCACCTCTGGGGAGCACAACGTTCCCGGCTCTGCTCATTCTTGCCATCGCCTCCTGTTTAGTAACCAACAGAACACAGAGAGCTGAGATGGGACACCAAAACCAGACTGCAGTTTACCACCGGCCAAAATGTGCCAATTCACTTCCCCATAGGGCATGGCGCATCGTTTTGTTTTGTTTTTCCAACTTATTCTCTCTGGTAATAAGGATCGAAGCCAATGAACACTTGAGGTTACATTCATGACCACTCAGCCTGAGCATCAGAAGCAGTTGTGTACTGACGCTTCCAGGGACTAAACAACGCAGAAGGCAAAGTGTTTCTGTGATGCCACTAGGAGGATGGGAAGGGGTTATTTCCCACCCGCACTGCTGGGACCTGAGGGCCTCGGAAGGCAGCGTGATTGGCCACTGGACTCACTGTGTGCCGCAGCTGAAGACAGAATCAGGGAGCGGGAACCACATTGTGCTTGCACGTTAGGATAAAATACTTAAGATCACTTAATTTCACATTCAGCTCTCTTCCCAGAAGTCTCTGGAGTTTTCAGGTCAGACAGGAGATCTCTGGGCTGAATCTAATTGACTTGAGTTCTGGAATGTCAATAACTTGACTTCAGGACATTCTTGTCTTCACAATGGGGCTCTTAGGCAGACGCAGTGTCGAGGTGTCTGGGTGGACGTGGTCTGGTGTGTGTAGCATCCCGATCAGCCATGAATTGTGTTAGCATCTGAAGGGAAGGGTTAGGTTTCCCTGGGCAGTCTCTTGGGGCTCTTAAAACCATGAGAAAGTGAAGGGGGACCGAGTGAACCCAAACATTAGGGTCTGACCGACATAACTAGGGAGGGTTACAATGACATGCCAGAGCTCCGCCGAACAGTTCTTGTTCCTGAAACAGTGATTGCATTTTTATTTTCAAGATTTATTCTGGGTCACAGTAGTACAACTTGATTCCACATACTGTGTCCCAAACACTATGTTAGGGATACGTACGGTGTACTCAATAAATAATTCACATGCTAGATTAGGGGGAGAAGGTGAACTCTGATCGCCTCATAGAACGTGAGGGCTTCTGCCTACGTGTGTCTTCCTTGCCATCCTTACCACTTTAAAAAAAATCATTTTATTAGGGTCTCATACAATTCGTATCACAATCCATCCATCCATCCATTGTGTCAAGCACATTTGTACATTCGTTGTCCTCATCACTCTCAAAACATTTGCTCTCCACTTAAGCCCTTGGCATCCTTACCACTTTGCTGTGACTTATGTATGTCCTGCATTGCATGTGGCTACATCAGGTATTTAATTGGCTTATATATTCATTACCAGCCTTCTCCACCCTCTGCCCTAACCAGAAGGTAAGCCACACAAAAGCAGGGATTTTGCTTACTGTTGAGTTTCGGTGACACCTAGAATCTTCATAAAACACAGTGAGCACCTTTGAGATAGCAAAGTATTCAGTATGTATTTAATGTAGAGATGCAGTTCTGTATCAGGGAGCTCACAGCAAAGAGGAAGTGCTCAGCACTGGGATCCACCCAGGCGATCCTGACTGCTGTTGTGAGATGCCTGCCATTGAGTTGGCTCTGATTCGTGAGGACCCCATCTCCAACAGAGGCAAACATGCCCGCTCCTCTGTCTTCACGATGAGTCCTAGTATCTGCTGTGTCATGGCTCGAGCACTCACCTTTCAACACTACAGAAGACAAGGTTTTGTTGGGACTCACAGAGCTTTTCCTTGGCTGAGCTTCAGAAGCAGCTCATGAGGGCTCTCGTCCTAGGCTCTTAGTGTGGAAACCCCACTGAAACCAGTCCACTGTGAGGGATTCTGCCGGTATTTAAAAAACCAGTGGTGTAGTTTCCAAAATCATAGCAACATGAAAACCACCAGAGTATAGCCAACTGGTCAACTGGTGCTAGGACCCAAATAAACCCAAACCCAACTCACAGCCATCAAGTCAAATCTGACTCTTCCTGACCCCGTGGGACAGAGTGGGCTTCTGAAGTTGTACATCTTTACGAGAGCAGAAAGCCTCATCTTTCTCTCTCAGAGCAGCTGGTGGATTCAAACAGCTGACCATGGTGTTAGCAGCCCCAAAGGGTATCCTGCTATGCCACCAGGCCCCTAGAAATCAAAATATAGTGCTATAAATACTAGACATCTTTTCAATAGTTACTCAAGGTTTGGGAAACTTGATCATCTTTTCATCTGCTAGTTATGCAAATTTTCTCTCCTGTTAGACTATGCTATTAACTCTTCTCTCAAAGATGGCACGAACCTTCTGAGTGAGTTATCTAGCTTCCTGGACCTCAAAGGATTTGAAATTGCTGACTGGAAGATCAGAGATGCTGAGAGTAGCAAACACACTCCCTGCAGAAATAAACGGAGGGTTTTGAAATGAGGGGGTGGGAAATCAAAGGAAGTGAGGGAGAAAGATAAGAACTCAAAAAGGGCAGCCATGTGTGGTCATTTTTTGAAGGGACCAAGAGCCCAACATGTCTTAGGAAGGTCGCCGCTCCTTTCCAGGGAGCTCACTCACCACCGCATGGGTCATCACATTTTCTGAGTCCGTTAAAGAAAACCCCAGTCTTGCTTTGGATATGTTATCAGGAGAGGGAGGCCCTGGAAAAGGCCATCCTGCTTGGTAAGGTAGAGGGGCAGAGACAAATAGGAAGGTTCTAAGCAAGGTGAATTGACAATGTGTCTAAAAAATGGGCTTAAACATAACAATTGAGAGGGTGGCACAGGACTGGTTGGTGTTTGGTTCTGCTGTGCCTGGGATTGCTATGAGTCAGACTTGACTCAAGGGCAGAGAGAAGAAAGAAGAAAGAAGAAGACGAAGAAGAAGAAGAAGAACAACAACAACAACATGCCTCACTAGGATGGATGGTCTACCCCATCCCCTCCACCAATTTCGCAGCTCATTCTCCTATGGTCCAAGCCTCTGTGTTCAGTTGGCCTGCTCTTCTGGGCTTCTAAGGAGCCCATGCCTGCTCTTGCTGGTCACTCTGTGAATCATGACAATATCCTCAGAGAATACTCCTGGTTATGCCCAGGCCCCAGACGTGAGAGAGGACATCCCAGGATTGCCTTCAAGGGTGGGATCCAGGACACGTGTATTATAGAAGGTGCTCCACAAATTGTTATGTCCTTTTGTGGCACAACAGGTATGTGGATAAATGGATGTCTCAGGGTAGAGAGATTATTGGGCTTCCACCTTTCATAGCATGTGTGGTATGGCACTGCAGCCTTTTGTTAACACACCAGCCTCCCAACTAGACTGTGAGCTGCTGCAGGCAGGTATTGTTATAATGACTGCCACTGCCAAACTCAGCATCTGGTATATGGTATGCAGTCAAGAAACGTCTACCGAATGAATGAATTCAAGGATAATACATGGGACAGAATGTTTAAATGGAAGTTTTGGCTGAGATTTTAAAGATGACAGATATAAGATAGCAAAGTGAGTTGGAAACAGACCACCCTGAAGAATTGGTTAAAAGAAGAAGAAAAAAGCTGGTTGAGGACCAATTAATCAACTCTTAAACCTTTCAACCACATTGAAAGCCAGGAAAAGAGATGCATTTTTCAGGAGAGAGAGCTGTTTTTTTATTGCATACCATGCCTGGTCCCAGGGTATGGAGTACGGAGAGAGGGAGTTTCCCCCTACATGTGTCAACAGAGAAGCTTACCTGAGACCAACAGAGTTTGATGCATGGCCTGGAGGGTTTGGGACACAGTGGGCTTTTTATGATTTTTGTCTGGGAAATACAGACTGCCTGACAGCATCACAATGTCCAGGGACAGGGGAACCTACATTGCCAAGAGTCTGCGAGGCTCCTTTCCCTTGGACTCTAAGCAGCCCACGGGTGCTGTGTGAGACCTTGTCTAAACGGCTGCCGCATGAGGGAGAGTCAGTCTGCATCAACAACGGGAAGGATGTCTAAGGAGTTAAGAGAAGGGCACTCGACTAGGTGGGAGGTTAGCAGTTCACATCCTTCCAGAGATGTCTTGAATTGCAGGCCTGGGGATCTACTTCTGAGAGTGGTTCCCAAGTGTCTCAACTTGATGGCAGCTAACACCACACAACACACCCTCTGCTAGACTGGGGGGAACTACCATGGGCTTCAAAGCATTTGTGGGAAAATACACCATCCTTCCTTCCATTTTCCAATCAACTGCTTGAAAGCCCTTTCATATGAACAAAGACAATGGTATTTGCAAGTGAGAGGTTTCTAGAGTCGGGGGGCAGGGAGGCCCCAGAAATATCTATGGCCGAGCCCCAGGAGAATGAGAGCTATCAACACCTGTTCAGCCACAGGAGCCAGGTGCCCATTTAAGACAGCACTGACCACATAGGAATGCTTCTGCATCTCTGGGCCTTCCTTCTTCCTCCAGCCAGCCCCGGGGTAGGGAGATGCTCGCAGCTAATGAGGGGAGAGGAACGGAAGGAGGAAGAACAAGAATCAGATCATAGCTAACTCTGCATTCTGGGAAGGCTCCCGTAGGAGGGAGGGGGAACTCTTATCTGGACAGGAAACTTGAAAAGTAATGATGATGATGATGGCTTTTTGGATATTCCAATTTCGGAATGTTGGCCATGCTTCACAATTTACTGGGAACATAAAACTGATGTCCTTCAAGAGACTTTATTTGAGAAAATAAAGTGCCTCCTTCCATTTTTCACCAGGGCAGGGGGAAAAAAAAACAAAACCAAGTGGCTCCAGTGCACAAGTGTTTACCACTAGAGGGCGCGGAGTGAAGTGGTTGCGGTTTCGAGCTCAGGATGGTTCTCCTGGTACCAGAGTCCATGAGGGCTTGCGGACATGCGATGGCAGATGAGAACTGTGCTCCACTGCATTTGCATTGGCTGATTTCTCCCCCCAGCCCCACCCCCTTGGAGTAGCTCACATAGTCTTCAGGCAGAGTGGTGTCTGGGTAAACTCCAACAATGCCTTAGTTCCAAGTGCCAGATAAGGACGAAAAAACATTAAAGTGTTAGCAAGTAAGAAGGTGGAAGCGAATTCTCCTTTTGTCGACTTCTTAATGGTGTTT